CAGAACCTTAGTTTTCGTAGCGATTTTAACATAAAAACATCAAAAAACCAATGGTTTTTCAACAAAAAAATGTCAAAATCTCATCCCGCGCGCTCTTGCGGATTCGTAGGGAACCCAACACTTTTTAAACATTTCTGTCAAACGGGCTTTTGCGAGCAACTTTTTCGAACTTCTGCAACAACGGTTGCGCACCTGCCAGGGCCATCATCCCTGTCAAATAATACCATGCGGGACACATTCGTTTTTTCTTCGCGCGCGCACGCCGTCGTCGTCGGCCGCGGGGCCCTGAATAGTAGCCACGGTCGTCCGCATGCCACGAAGTGAAGTGTCCGAACGTCATAGGGCGGGAAGCTGGGTGTGGGTGGTGGCGAAGAGTCGTTTGGAAATTTGGTAGAGCTTGAACCGGCCCCCCCACAAAGTGGGGGTATTGCCCGCCTCCTATGAAAACCCTGGCACTGGTGAGAACGGAGTGTCCCCACGTGCTAGTAATTGTTGTTGTTGTTGTTGTTGTTGTTGTTGTTGTTGTTGTTGTTGTTGTTGTTGTTGTTGAACTTTGATTTCTGAATAATAATTATTGTTGATCCCCCCCACCGGTGCATACTGCTTTTTCGCAGTCAAAGTGTGCCCTTCGACGCTCGCGCCGAGTTTTTGGCAGGGGAAGTCTTCCTGCTCAAACTGGGCCCCTGGCTCCCGGGTTACAACAACAACGGTTTCCGCTTGAGACTTCGTCGCAAATTAGCCAGAGGACCCCCGATCCCGCCCGAGACTTCCTCCCATTTTATTCAGGAATCGCGCTCTCGCTGGGGACTTCCTTACAATTTATTCAGGCATCGTTCTCCCGGCGCTTTGGAGTCGTGCTCTCACTGGAGACTTGCCTGCAATTTACTGAAGAGTAGTGCCCTTGCGTTGGAATTTCTTGCAAGTTACTCAAGCGCCACGCCCGACACCCAGGCACCCAGGAGTCGCGCCCGTTGTGGCCCCATGTGCATGCCCTTCGTGGCCCCGCTGTCGCCATTTGTGGGGCCCTCACTGTCCTACGAGGCCCAGTTGCTACCCTCAGTGGCCCCATCGTTACCTTCTGTGGCCCCGCATTATCTGCCCTTCGTGGCCCCCGCTCGTTCGCGCTCTTCGGGGCCCCTTGCGCATTCCCTTCGTGTCCCCGCTGTCGCCCTTCGTGGCCTACTTCGTGTCCTTCGTGGCCCTGCTGTCGTTCTCTCTCGCTCTCGCTTTCGCTCGTCGTCGCCGTCGTCGTCGTCGTCGTCGTCGTCGTCGTCGTCGTCGTCGTCGTCGCTGTCGTCGTCGTCGACGTCGTCGTCGTCGTCGTCGTCGTCGTCGTCGTCGTCGTTGTCGTGGTCGGTCCCCTGTCCGTCCCTCTTGGGGTCGGGTCGACGGTCCGTGGCCGCCTCGCCGATGAGCGCTGCCCTTCGTGTCCCCGTTTCTGCCCTCAGTGGCCCCGTCCTTGCCTTCCGCGGCCCAATTAACGTATGCCCTTCGTGGCACCCGGTCGTTCGCGCCCGTCGTGGCCCCATGTGCCCTTCGTGGCCCCGCTGTCGCCCTTTGTGGCTCCTTCGCTGTCTAACGTGGCCCAGTTGCTACCCTCAGTGGCCCCGTCGTTGCCTTCTGTGGCCTCGCATGATCTGCTCTTCGTGGCTTCCTACGCATTCCCTTCGTGTCCCCGCTGTCGCCCTTCGTGGCCTACTTCGTGCCCTGTGTGGCCCTGCTGTCGGTTTCTCTCTCGCTCTCGCTGTCGCTCGTCGTCGTCATCGCCGACGTCGCCCTCGTCGTCGTCGCCGTTGCCGTGGTCGGTCCCATGTCCGTCCCTCTTGGGGTCGTGTTGCCGCCGATCAGCGCTGCCGCTGGCCAGGCCGACGGTCCGCGGCCGCCCCGCCGCTCGCCGGGGCCCAGCCTGCAGGGAAGAAGGGTATACCCCCCAAAAGGCGTTCGATCGAAGACGAAGGGGGCGGGTATCGAGGGTAACGGACACAAAGGCAGATAAGAGCGAACAATCTTAAAGTTGTTGTTGTTGTTGTTGCTGCTGTTGCTGCTGCTGCTGTTGTTGTTGTTGCTGATTCTTAGTATTCGTATATGTATTCGTAGTAGTTTCAGTATTCGTTTTATTGTTATTATTGGTCGTATTATCAATATTAGCATTCGTATTAGTATTAGTACTAGTATTCGTATTAGTATCCGTATTAATATTAGTATGAGTATTAGTATTAGTATTCGTATTATTATTAGTAGTATTTGTCTTAGTATTAGTATTAGTATTAGTCTTAGTATTAGTATTAGTATTAGTATTAGTATTAGTATTAGTATTAGTATTAGTATTAGTATTAGTATTAGTATTAGTATTAGTATTAGTATTAGTATTAGTATTAGTATTAGTATAGTATTCGTATTAGTATTAGTATTAGTATTAGTATTAGTAATTCGTATTCGTATCGATTCGTATTCGTCGTATTCGTATTCGTATTCCGTATTAGTATTCGTATTCGTATTCGTATTCGATCGTATTCGTTCGGATTCGTATTCGTATTCGTATTCGTATTCGTATTCGTATTCGTATTCGTATTTCGTATTCGTATTCGTATCGTATTCGTATTCGTATTCGTATTCGTATTCGTATTCGTATTCGTATTCGTCGTATTCGTATTCGTAGCGATATTCGTAATTCGTATTCGTATTCGTATTCGTCTTCTATTCGTTATTCGTATTCGTATTCGTATTCCGTTTCGTATTCGTAGTCGTAGTCGTAGTCGTAGTCGTATCGTAGCCGTAGTCGTATTCGTAATTTTCGTATTCGTATTCGTATTCGTATTCGTATTCGTATTCGTATTCGTATTCGTATTCGTATTCGTATTCGTATTCGTATTCGTATTCGTATTCGTATTCGTATTCGTATTCGTATTCGTATTCGTATTCGTATTCGTATTCGTATTCGTATTCGTATTCGTATTCGTATTCGTATTCGTATTCGTATTAGTATTAGTATTTGCATTCGCATTCGCATTCGCATTCGTATTCGTATTCGTATTCGTATTGGTATTCGTATTCGTATTCGTATTCGTATTCGTATTCGTATTCGTATTCGTATGCGTATGCGTATGCGTATGCGTATTCGCATTCGTATTCGTATTCGTATTCGTATTCGTATTCGTATTCGTATTCGTATTAGTATTAGTATTAGTATTAGTATTAGTCTTAGTTTTAGTATTAGTATTAGTATTAGTATTAGTATTAGTTTTAGTTTTAGTATCAGTATTAGTATCAGTATTAGTATTCGTATTAGTATTCGTATTAGTATTCGTATTAGTATTAGTATTAGTATTAGTATTAGTTTTAGTTTTAGTATTCATATTTGTATTTGCATTTGTATTCGTATTCGTATTTTCATCCGTATCCGTATTCGTATTCGTATTCGTATTCGTATTCGTATTCGTATTCGTATTCGAATTCGAATTCGAATTCGAATTCGTATTCGTATTCGTATTCGTATTCGTATTCGTATTCGTATTCGTATTCGTATTCGTATTCGTATTCGTATTCGTATTCGCATTCGTATTCGTTTTCGTTTTCGTTTTCGTATTCGTATTCGTATTCGTATTCGCATTCCCATTCGCATTTGTATTCGTATTCGTATTCGCATTCGCATTCGTATTCGTATTCGTATTCGTATTCGTATTCGTATTCGTATTCGTATTCGTATCCGTATTCGTATTCGCATTCGTATTCGTATTCGTATTCGTATTCGTATTCGTATTCGTATTCGTATTCGTATTCGTATTCGTATTTGTATTCGTATTCGTATTCGTATTCGCTTTCGTATTCGTATTCGTATTCGTATTAGTACTTGTATTAGTATTAGTATTAGTATCAGTATTAGGACTATCATCAAGTATTCGTATTAGTTTTATTTTCAAGTAGTAGTATTCGTATTAGTATTTGTGTTAGTATTAGTATTAGTATTCGGATGTGTATTTGTATTCGTGGTCGTATGAGTATCATTTGTTGTTATATATGTATATACATAAAAATCGTAATATTTTTCGTATTAGTATTAGTATTCGTAGTAGTATCAATATTGTATTAGTATTCGTAAGAGAATTCGTGTTAGTATTTGTGTTAGTACTGGTACCATTATTAGTATTAGTTTTCGTATGGGTATCATTCATTTTTTATGTAATCATTTGTTCATATACTTATAACCCTCACTATCTATATTCAGAATATTATGTATATCATTTTCATTATCATTATTATTTGTATTTTTATTAGTATCATCGTCATAATCATCATCATTTTCTTGATTATTGTTATCATCATAAACGTTATGGTTAGTAATGCTCGTAGGATCGTTCTTAGCATTATTATCATTATCAGTATTATTCTTAGTAGATTATTAGTAATCTTATCATTATAGTCATTATTATCATTGTTATTATTGTGGTTGCTGTTGTTATTATTAGTCTGATATTATTGATATCATTCGTATTCTTATTGTTTTACCACTGATGTCAATAATCACCTTACTTATGACATCTAAAGCAACAACACGAACATATAAACCCAACACAGCAACGTCGATCTCAGGGGTCTCGTCCCATTCCTGGGGACCAGGTGTGCATCCCGAGTGGTCGTCGGATGGCCCCCGGGCCCCGCGAGGGCTGCCAGAGGCCGAACACGGCCGGGAGCTTTCCGCCACGTCTTTTTGTTCGCGGCGCGGGGGGATGGTGGTTTGGGCCTCAGCTGGGGACCGCCTGAAGCAAACTCATTCTCCTCGGCGGCGAGCGAGGGGGGGGAAGATAGAAGGGGCGGGCCTTTTCAGAGGGCTCGGAAGTCCATTCCCGCCTTCGGAGAAGTTTTGTGAGCCTTCCCCGAAAACGAAAACAAAATTTCTCAGGAGGCGCGAGGGCTTCTGAGAAGCCCCGCCGCCTTTGAGAAGGCCTTCTCTCCTTCTCCTTCTCACTTCCCCCCCTCGCTCGCTGCCGATGTCCTTCCAGGCTGGCTGGCGGGCTGGGCGACGCGCTCCTCTAGGGGAACGAGGAATGACACAAACATAAGAACTCGGAGGTCCGCGTGGATTTCCCGCATCGGCGCTCGACCCCCCTCCCTGGCGCGCGGAGCGCGCCAGGGGTGGCGCCGGAGGCGCCGCCAGGGGGGTCCAGCGCGGATCCGGGAAATCCGCGCGGACCTCCGAGTTCTTATGTTTATGTCTTTCTTCGTTCCCCTATCCTCTGCCGCGCCGGGGAGCTGGCTGGCCAGCTGAGCGCGCGGGACCTGACCATGGCGCTGCATGGCCTGGCCAAGGGGCTCCGGGCGCCTCCCGGCGCACACGCTCCGCCAGGCCGCGGCGGGGGCGACGCCCGCGCGGCGAGCGCCCGGAGGCACGCGGTGGAGAAGCTCGCCGCCCGCCGCCCTTCAGGCGGGGGCGGGAGGAGGAAGGAGGAGGAGGAGGAGGAGGAGGAGGAGGAGGAGGAGGAGGAGGAGGAGGAGGGAGGAGGAGGAGGAGGAGGAGGAGAGGAGGAGGAGGAGGAGGAGGAGGAGGAGGGGGAGATAGGGTGACCCCGAGGCGACGCCCGCGCTGCTCGTCCTGGAGCGGCCCCCTCGCCACAGCTGGGTTCTCCTCGAAGTCCTGGTCGGACTGCGCTCCGGGAGGGGTCTGGGTGGTGGAGGGGTCCGGGTAGCCTTTGGCTCTCGCCAGCGGCTGCCGGTTTTTAGGGTCTATCCCGATCCGGTCGATGCGATTCGGTATCGGTTCTGGCTGGCCCGATCCGATCTGATCGCCGGATTTCCCCCCTCGGAAGATCCATCCTCTTCCTTTCCTCATCCTCTCCTCATTCTCATCCTCTTTCTCCTCCTCCTCCTCCGCCTGCTCCTCCTCCTCCGCCTCCTCCTCCTCCGCCTCCTCCTCCGCCTCCTCCTCCTCCGCCTCCTCCCGAGGTCGCTTGGATGCAGCTGGGGGTCCTCGTGGAGGCCTCAGGAGGTCGGGTCCCCCCCCCCAGAGAGATGCCGCTGGCCCAGGGAGGGGCAGACGTGTTCGAAACCTTCGGCTCGGCCCCGGACCCTCGACCAGGTCTGTATATCGCCGCCTCTCGGGCTCGGTGCCCCTGATCTTGTCGTTCGAAGTGGCGCGCGCTCGCCCCGGCGCGGGCTGCACTCCTGGTTCCGATACGTTCCTCGTCGTTGCCGTCCCTTCCCTTCCCCTGCTCCTCCTTCCTCCTCTCGTCCCTCCTGCCCACCCTCCTAGCTACCCCCCTCCTGCTCATCCGCCTCCTCCTCCAGTGTGCAAAACTCCCCTTTTCTGACTGTGCACCGCAGGGCGGGGTCATTTTGGGGATCACGGTCCTCTGAGACACCCCAAGCGTTAAGTCGGGCATGTCCCTCTCCAGGGGGAATGTTCAAAAATAGTCAAAAAAATAGTCTGGGGACTATTTTTTTCAATATTTGTTTGACCATTTTGGAGTATTTTTGGAGTATTCTTTGTTCTCCGTCGAAAATCCCCCTGTGGGGGGACACGCCCGACTTGACCCAAGCGGCGGACGGGCAAGAGCTCGGCGAAGCGGGAGGCGATGGGCGGGAGAGGCATGGTGTCAGACGCGGCGCCCGCGCGCCCAGCTCGCCCTGCGCCCTCCCCCGCCCCTTGCGAGGGTTGGAGGGGCGCCCCCAGATGTAGCTGGGCTTGCTCTGCTCTTCGCCCTCCATTTTCCTCCCCCCTCGCTCGTCCTCGTCATCACCTCCTTCCCCCTCCCCCTCCCGGTCCCCTTCCCTTGCTCCCCCATCGTCCTCGCCCTTCTTCCCGAGTCGTCGTGCGTCTCCGTCGCGTCGCCGTTGGCTGCCGCCTTCTTTCTGCTTCCTGGGCCTCGTGCGCCTACGTAGGCGCGCGCGAGGCCAGAGTAGAAATCTGAAAACTTCGATTATCATGGTCAGGACCATTCCAACCCCGACTGGGACACCGTAAGCTAGCGCTCCTTTTAGGTAATTGGGGATGGACTGGGTGCTTCCAAACTATCCAGGAGGAGCCGGCACCCATCCCCACCCTAGGGGGGTAGGTCGGCCGGCGGGGCAATGATTTCCCCGTTGGGGGTGTGGATGGCTCTATATGTCCAAACTGACGTCAGCTTCCTTCCTCGTCACCGCCATCCTCTATGCTTTCCAGCCCTCGCCTCGAGCGACAGTCACGATGGGCGCCTGCGACCACCACGCCATCCTGGGCATGTCATCCTGGGTTTTGGTTAATGGTCTGGTGTGGTTGTTATCCGTTCGTCTCCTCTCCTCGACCTGCCGCGTACCCACTCAGTGCCTTTGCGGGCCGATATCCTCGCGCTTGCGCTCTTCGCCTCGCTTCCCCGCCTGGCGGCTTTCATGTCAAGCATCTCACTTCGCTGTACCTGTTCCGAATTTCATAATACAAGGGGGGTGGTCTGATTTCTTCGGGGGTCTGATTTGAGCTGTCTCGGAGAGTCCCGGGGGGTCTGGGCACAAGGCCGCCTTGTCGTGGTTGGTCTGGGGGGGGGTCTGAAGTTGTTGGTCTGGGAGGGTTGTGACCCCCTCCCCTTTCTTACGAGATTTAGCGCATGCTGCCTCGCCCAAGGCGGTGCCTGACCACGACGGACGCTGCGTTCGAGTGACCGGAGCTTGTGCAGCGTAAGAAAGGCACATCTTCCATGGCGCCAACATCGCAGAGCGGATTTCGTTCGGAAAACAATAAGATGGGCCTGGAGTGTCCTGGAGAAGTTCTTTCTGGATTTCGAAGTGACTTTCGTGCGTTTTTTTGGCCCAGGTTCGGTTTCTTGTTTGTTGGCCAGGAATGAAGACTATAAATTCACGTGAAATTCGCTTCGTTTTTCGCTCGTCTTTTCGGGGTTTTTGCATTGACAGCAATCCACGCACAAATCCGCGGGAGCACGTCTACAAGGTCGGTGTTTTCTTTGGGTGGAGGGGGGGGGGGCAGGTGCAGCTGGAGGAGGAGCAGCCGCAGCAGGCCGCTCTGCTGCTGGGCGCCTTCGCGCGCCTCCGCCACTCGCGCGACCCCGCGCTGTTCGGCCGCTTCTTCGGCCTGCCGCCGCCGCCGCCCGTCGTCGTCGGTCGTCGTCGTCTGTCCACGGTCGCGGCTCGTCTTACGTGGGCGTCGTCGTCGTCGTCGTCGTCGTCGTCGTCGTCGTCGTCGTCGTCGTCGTCGTCGTCGTCGTCGTCCCGTTCTTTGTCGTCGTGATGGTGTGGTCGTCGTGGCGATCTTCATGGCGGGCGTCGTCGTCGTCGTCGTCGTTGTTGCGTGGTCGTGATCGTCGTGTACGTCGTTGTCGTCGTTGGGGCAGTCGTCGTCGCGGGCGTTGTCGTCGTCGTGGTCGTGGTCGTGGTCCTTGTCGTGGTCGTGGTCGTCGAGTCATTAGGACCTCCGATGCCAGACGCTCAGCAGTCTCTTTGTTCGGGGGCACGGCGGTTTCGCGAGGTCTCCAGGAGGTCTTGGCGGAGGTTTCAGTCGGAGGACGGCCAGTCGAGACAACGGCTGCCCCCTCCAGCGGCGTTTTTTTTGTTGCTTGTTTGTGTCGTTGTTGGCGTTTTGGTTGTTTGTTGTTTTTGGTTTTTGTGTGTTTGTGCTTCGTTTTTCCGTAGCCCTCTGGCTCAAGTCTGGGCTCGAGCACGCCCCTGGCCAGGCGCGGTGTTTCCAGCCCTGGTATGATGGAAACCGCGGCGGCGCGGCGACGGCGGCAGGCCTGTGCCGCTGCCAGTCGCCGCTTGGCTGCCGCCGCCGCCGGGCATGGTCGTCGCGGGCCTGCCAAGGCTCTCTGGCGCCGCTGGCGCGGCTGGTGCTGCTGGCCCGGCCGGCGCCGCCGCTCTTGGCGCCGCTTGCTCCCCTCGGGCGCCCCGGGCGCTGCCGACGCCCCCGGGCATGTCGGCGCGGCCCGAGTGCGCCGTCCTGCTGGCGCCGCTGGCGCGGCCCCCTTCGGCCGCCGCTGCCAACGCCGCCGACGCCTCGTGGCCGGTCAGCACGGCCACCGCGGCTTGACCGCCCGCCTCGGCCGGCAGCGCGGGCGCCGCCGACGCTTTCGGGAGCGTTGGCGCGGCCCGCGCCTTCCTGTGGGCCCCCGCGCCCTGCGCCGCTGGCGCCGCTGGCGCCGCTGGCGCTGCCGACGCCGCTGGCGTAGGCGCTGTCGGCGCCGCCGGCGCTCCAGGCGCGGCCGCCGCCGCCGCTGCGGGCGCCTGCGATGCGGCTGCCGCTGCGGCTGCCCGCGCAGGCCTCTGGCTGGCCGCGGCCTGGGTGGCGTTGGCCGCCGAGTTCGCTTCCGCCGACGTCGCGGCGCGCGCCGACGCGCGCGTGTTGGAGGATGATGAGGAGGACTTGGGGCAGGACTTGGGGCAACACGTGGGGAACGCCGTCGCAGCTGTCGGGGAGGACGACGCGTGCGACGCTGCTCTGGCGACGCCTGCATCCTCGACAGCTCTGCCGAGAGCATCGACGCCGGCATCTGCGGAACCCTGACAGCGCCATCATGACCAGCCTGGGTGCCCAGCGGAGTCTACGGTGGAGGACGTCGAGGAGGGCGTCGACGAGGGCGTCGAGGTGGTGGAGGAGGTGCAGGAGGTGGTGGGCGAGGGGGGGCAGTTCGTCGACGCGGAGGCTGAGGAGGCGGAAGTGGAGGTGAAGGGGGGCAGGGCCCGAGTCTTCGCCGTGGACGTGGACGGCGTGGAGGATCAGGAGGCGGGGGAGGTGGAGGAGGCCCGCGGAACCACGGTTCCCGAGGAACCAACAGCCGTTTCTCCAGGACTACGCGGCTCTTCTCTCGCCGGCTAGCCCCCCGCGTTGCGCCGGCGTGGGCCCGACGTGCTGGATCGTTCAGTTTTCTTATCCACTGCCGCACTTCGTGGCGCTGCGGGGAGGCAGGAAGGAGGAGTGGGGAGAGGCCCGGGTGGCCCCGCTCAGTTCGCCCCCCCCCCCCCCCCGCCATCGCGCCCGTGTGGGCCCGACCGAGGTCAGGGCGCCGATTCTCTCACTGCTACTGCCGCAATTCGCGGCGCCCCCCGCGCCCCCCCCGCGGGGGGGGGAAGGGGGCCAGGACCGCGGCAGCGGTTGCGGCGACAGATGCCGGCGGGCCTCCCTTGAGCCTCGCCAGGGGCCTGATGGAATTTTCATCCCCGCCGGGCCTGGTAGCAATGGCGGCGTCGGAGACCCGCGGGCCGAACCTGGCTGCGATGGCGGAGACAGAAGCCAGCGGCCCCCCCCTGAGCCTCGCCAGGGCTCAGGGGGAACTTCCATTTCTCCCGTTTTTGCCGCGTTCCGTGGCGCCCCTTAACCTGGCAGCAATGGCGGTGTCAGAGACCAGTTGGCCCAACCTGGTCGCTTCGCCCCCGTTATCGCGGCGTTCCGTTGCGCTTTTTGTTGTGACGTGTCGGAGGCTAAGTGTCTGTTCGCTTGGTGGCGTGCTCGGGGGCGCGATGGGCCCTGGCGGCGCCGGGGAGCAGCGGGCCGAACCTGGTAGAGGTGGCGGAGTCAGGATACAGCGGGCCTCCCCTGGGCCCCGCCAGGGCTCAGGGGGGGCCCCCCGTCTCTCATGCGTTTACCGCTTGCAGCGGCGCTCCTGGGCGGAGCAGCGACGGCGGCGTCAGAAACCAGAAGGCCCCGCGGCCCCTCGCAGGCCCCCGAGCGCGCGCCTACTGCAAGCGATGCCGCCGCTGCTTGGGGCGCACCTGGTCAGGGCCTCGTCGCCGCGCTGAGGGCCCGCTACGAAAGGCCGCCAACCGGAGGCGCGCGGGCCAACGCGTCTGGCAGTGGCGCTCCTGGACCGCGAAGAGGTGCTCTTTCTGGCAGGCCAGAACTACTTATCCAAGGCTGCGATGACGCGCTGGCGCTAGAAAGGGGCTGGGAAACCGTCGCCGCCGTCTGGGGCACCCAGTTGTGGACCCCCTGGCCCCTGGGGTCGAGTGGGGGCCGCGGACGGCCAGGTCGACGGAAGACAGAGTGCTCGAGGTGACGCCGTACCTGGACAGCCCTCGGGTCTCGAGGTGGCCCCCTTCAGTCCGCCCTGATGCCAGGTGGCCCCCCCCCGTTGTCGCGACGATCGCACCAGGCGCCGCTCTGCTCGTCCTGGAGAACCGTTGTCGCCGCGGCCGGACAGCGGAACCCAGCGGCGCAGCCGTGAGCAGCAGGGCGGGCGCCGGCAGCACCGTCGGGGTCAGCGCGACCGCGAGCAGCAGGAAATGCTCCAGCTGCAACATCGCGAGCAGCGCGACGGACCCCGGCAGCTCGACCGCGTGCAGTGCGACGGGCTCCAGCACCGCGACCGCGAGCGGCCAGACGGGCTCCAGCATCGCGACCCTGGGCGGCCAGACGGACGCCGCTGGGCGGACCGAGCTGACGACCGAGCCCGACGTGCCTGGGCCCGACGCCCCACTCGACACCCAAATGCCGGCGCCCAGCCCTGTGCCCCTCCCGCCTTGTCCGCTGCCCCCTCCGACGCCCCCGCCCGGCCCGGGCCCGCCGGCTGGGGCGTTTCGTGGTCTCCGTCCTCGTGGCCCGCCGCAACAGCTGCTGCTCGTGCCGACGCCAGGGTCAACGCGGGCCCGCCGTGCGTCAACCCCACGCCGGCCCCCGATGTCTCCCGCGGCCCCCCCGCGACGACGGCCGCGGACGGTTCCGGCGCCGCGGGCAGCTTCAGCGCGGGCCCGCGGGGGCGCCTCGGCCAGCGCGGCGCAACTTCCTGCTGCTCGCCAAGCGTACTTGTGCCGCGGCGCTGGGCGCCCGCGACCAATGGGACTCGTTCGCTACGGACTATAGGAAGAAAGGAAAGGGGCGGGCGCGCCCCGCGGATGTCCCAAACCCCGTCCTGCTCGACTTCCTCGGCTCGAAGGGGGCCCTCGTGGCCCGGGTCAGGAGGGCGCTGCGTGCTGGCGGTGAAGCTGGGGCGGCCTGGCATAGGTTTCGGTGTTCGGCGTGGCGGTGGCACTGGCGACCCTGGCCTGCACGAGGCTACCTTCCTCCGCCGCTTCCTTCACCAGCATGAGCCAGTGTGAGCCGCCCGCGCGCCGCCGCCCCAGGGGGCCCCGTCCGCGCGGGGGCGGGCAGCGCGGCCGCTCCGCCGCCCAATCGGCGGGCCCCCGCCGCCCCTCCCACGCGCCCGCACCCCGGCGTGGCGAGCCTACCGCACGTGGCGTCCTGCCCTGCTGGCCCACCGCCCAGGTGCCTCACTGCCCCCGCGCTCGTCGCGACCGCCGCCCCCCCCCCCGCCCAAGTGGCGGTTCCCTGCCCGTCGCTACCCGGCCGACGCGCTCGCCCGTCCAACTGGCGGCTTCCTCGCCTCCCTGTTCCTGGTCCCTCCTCCTTCCCCCCTGACCGCTCTCCATGAGGCGTGTGGCCCTTTGGGCTGGGCGCCTCTCCGCGCCTGGCTTGGCACCTCCACGGTGCCGTCCCTCGCCTCTCCACCTTGCGACGTGCCTCCCGTGTGGGGCGCGCGTCGCTCGCCCGCTGCCCCCTGCGCCACTTCGGTGCTTCTCTGCTGGCCCGGCTCCTGCACCCGTCGGTGCCTCCCGCCGCCGCCCCCCCGCGACGTGCCTCCCGTTTGGGGCGAGCGTTGCTGGCTCACTGTCCCCTGCGCCCTTTCGGTGCTTCTCTGCTGCGCAGCGCTGGACCGCCCGCCGGGCCGCCCTGCGTTGCGTCCTGGCTTCTGCACCTTTCGGTGCTCCCCTTCTTCCGCGGCAGCCCTGCGCTGCCTCTTCCCGTTGCGATGCTGTTCCGCCCCGCCGCCCGCGTGCGCCTGGGACGCTTCGCCCGCCGCCTCCCGCCCCACCTCTCCAGGCTCCTTGACCACCTGGCGCGCCCCAGGCGGTCGCGCCGCAATTCCCCTGTCACTGTCGTCCTTCTGGCTGGTTTGCCGCCTCCTTCCGGCAGCCCCGCGCTTCCTCGACCCGTTGCGTTGCTGTTGCGCCCCGCCGCCCGCGGGCGCCTGAGGCTCTTCGACTCTTGCCCCACCTCTCCCGGCCCCCTGGCCACCGTCGCTGCCTCTGCTTTGCCCCCGCTTCCGCGCTGCTCAGTGCTGTGCCTACTCCTCGGCGCGCCGCT